CACTGGAGATCACTAGGGGTATTTCCCATGATGGGATGTAATGATTTAGAAGTTTCTTAGCTACTGTGATGGCATCTGCTTTCCTGCAGGGATAAGCTTCTACCCATCCCAAAAACAAACAAACAATAACCAGCACATATTCAAAGGATTGACATTTAGGCAATTGAATAAAGTCCATTTGTAAATTCAGAAATGGTCCTAAAGGCGGAGGTCTGGTTGCCGGAACTGTCTTTACAGGTTTACCCACGTTGTGGGCTTGGCAGACAGGGCAAGCCAGACAGTAATTTTTTGCTGCTTGGGAGAATTTGGGAGCAAACCAATTTTACTTTAGGATTGCCACCATCCCCCCTTTGCCAACGTGCGACAATTTATGGAGCACGGAGGCAAGGTGAGGTAGCAAGACTACTGGGGCAACAATGCGGCTGTTAGAGCTGCGCCACAAATGATCTGGGTGCAAGGGGCACTCTGCCAGCTTCTACTTTTGCTTTTCTGATTCTGGGGCTTGGTCCTGCAGGAGGGCCAGTTCTGACAGAGATGGCAAAGGAGCTGACGGTGGTGGGAAAGAAGGGTACAATGCTTCAGCTCGAGGAGGACATAGGGCGGTTGCCTTAGCAGCCCGATCGGCTATGTCATTTTTTAATGCAACTTCATTAGAGGAAGAGGAATGAGCTACACACTTAACAATAGCAAGAGCCGAAGATAAAAGTACTGCATTAAGTAAAGCGGCTACATAAGGCTCATTCTTTATAGAGTGGCCAGAGGAAGTAAGGAAACCTCGCTGCTTCCAGAGCGTACTAAAATTATGAACTACGCCAAAAGCATACCAGGAGTCAGTGTAGATAGTAGCAGACGCTCCTGCAGTAATGTGACAAGCCCTTGTTAGAGCTATTAATTCCGCCACCTGTGCGGAAGAAACAGCAGGTAGAGGAGCAGATTTTATGACATCCCGGACAGTACAAACTGCATAGCCTGCTACTAAAACTCCACTAGAATTATAAAAGCAAGAACCATCTGTATACAGTATAAAATCAGGGTTATCTAAAGGCATTTCAGACAGGTCTGGTCTTGGAGAGGTGACGGCTTGCACAACTTGCAAACAGTCATGAGGCTCCCCCTCATGGGGTGCAGGGAGTAGTGTAGCGGGATTTAAAGAGTCACAACGAATTACAGAGACATTGGGAGAAGCAAAGAGAAGCCGTTCATATTTAACAAGACGGGCATTAGAAAGGTGCTGGGTTTTTCCTTTTAAAAGTAATGCTGACACCGAATGAGGAACAGCCAGTGTTAATGGAGATTGTAAAACCAAAGGTTCTGCTTGCTCTAAAATCCGTGCTGCCGCCGCAATTGCACGGAGGCACGGTGGAAATGAGGCCGCAACGGGGTCAAGATAGGTGCTGTAATAAGCAAGAGGGCGGTATTTATCAC